GGATGTTCTTATTAACTAGGTAAATAAAAATAAATAAAATATAATATGCTACAAAAAGTGTCGTAATTTTTATATTTTATAATCAATAAATGTCGTAAAATTTTTAACTTTAATTAAGATGTATTTGTTAAGTTACACTTTCACGAACATTGGGTGTAAAAAAAAACTGTAATTAAATATTCAAACACTTGACCAGAGTTTTCAGAGCAGCTCTAGTTGCAACCTGTTGCAGACTTTAAGCCATTTTCCCGAGATTAAAGCTCGCGTGCTGGCCAACTGCATTTCAAAGGGATAGCGGAGTTAGGAAGTCGAGGGAATGCTTATGGAGAAATCATGCAAATGTGCCAATAACTGATGCAATTTATTTTAGCAAACGCCGCAGCACGCAATTTGCCGCACGCTCAAGAAATGAAAATTGAATCAAAAGAAAATAAGAAGAGCCAGCACGAATGGGAAATGCAATTGGTAAAAGAACTGGGTGAAGAGTGGTGGATTGTGGGTGGTAAATTTTATGGCAGCCTACAACCCAAAACCTCCTTAAAACCGTTCCCATAAAAATCCCACGGAGAAACGTGGGGTCGCGGCAAGTCATTAAACAAAAGGCAAACGCCAAGGACCCAAAAAGGAAGTTACTTTCAGTTACAGATACTTTTGTCGGTTGCTAAGAATTCTGGCTAAATGAATTCGTGACGTTGTCGTGTTTATCAGGCTCCGGTTATTCCCTCTGCTTCTGCTGGTTATTACAGCCAAAGCTGTTCTTCTTCAGGATAGTTGGTTGGTATTGTTTCGTAGATGCCTTTTAGCATTTTGTGTAATTGTTTTGTGGCAAATAGTAAAAATATACAAGTTTGTATGTGCACGAGTGGACTAGCTCCAGCTTGGGAATACACAGGGAAGAAAAATTGTCAAAAGATATCCAAAAAATAGGAAGGATAAAATATTTAAGGTAAAATAGTTTGAAAATAGATCGAACGTAGAGTGATAGGTTATAAAGTATTTATTCCCAATTTAGGGCTAATCATTTTTAGTTTTGAAAAAACTAACTTTAAAATATGTAAAGAATAATAAATTAAAAAAGAGACTAAAACAGTAAAATATTGAGGAATATTCTTACAGTAGTCCGGAACCCTTAACCGAACCAAATCTTTGGTTTTGGTTCACCCACACCATTTTCAACATTTTCGATATTTTGTCCACGAAATGTTCTTATCAAAATATTAGAAGCTTCATTTTAAAGGTAGAATAAGAAAACCTAAGAAAATAATTTAAACTCTGAATTCCCAAGCAATCTATAAATATTAGAAAATGTTTAAATTTTTTAAGGAAAATGTTATACAAAAAATTATTTTAAAAATCCTTTAAAAGTGAAAAATTCTCTCAGTGGCCAGTCTTTTGGTACATAATAGTTCTGTGTTGTTGCTCGGCATGACTCGGCGATGTCTTACTGCTGACATAATTGATATGGGCCACCTAGCACAGTTTTATTTTTGCTCCTTGCTCCAAGTTTTCCGTTTTTTCTCCGTTCCTTAAATTTTTCCCTCGTCCTGCAGTTGGCGTGTGCCGAGCCGTGTACACGCAATCCAGCTGGGCCCAGGACTCTCCCAAAGGCTCCCAGAGGCACGCAAGTGGAGCTCGGGAATGGCTTCTTCTTCTGGCAAAATTTCGCCAACCGTTAGCGGGTTTTTTTTTCGCTGACGCTAGCCGCAATTCAGTTTAAATTTAACTCGCGGCGGGCCAAGTACACAAAACTCGAGCAACGAGCGGCGACAAGAAAGAATTCCGTTTTGTTGGAGAGAAATAAAAAAAAAGTGCTGCACAAATATTGGCTGTTGTCCCGTCATTAAAAGCGCATTTTGTTTTGCCAGCTAATTACGAAAGTGAAGTGTTGGAACGGGGTAGCCCCGAAAAACAGTGGAAAAAGTGTGTGTTCCCCCGGAGTGATGTATTAATTTCAAGTGCCAAAAAACGCGGACACGACATTGCCACAAAGTCAACCTCCACCTGAACTCCTCCATGTCCGAGCCGGTTCGGGGGGAGGAGGGTGTTGTATCTGAGCCACAGCCAGCAGGAGTATCTGCGGAGCCATCGGTGAGCTCCAGCCGGCTGACAGTCATTACCATGAGTCGTCTGAGGCGTGAAAGCAGCCGACAAAGCGTCATCACCGTCGAGCTGATACAGTTCATAATTCAGTATCGCGCCAAGGAGACGCAGGAGAAGAAGAAAAGGTGCGATCTGCCATTGAAATACAGTACACAACTTTAAAGTGTTCCAATCCGCGATCCTTTAAAATCAAAGAACTTACGAGTACTCTCGAAAAACTGCAAATGTTTTGTGTCTCTGAAGCGGAACATGCCATGCTGAGCGAATGGTATTAAATACGAAATAATTCTACTGCAAAAACCAAAAAACCAACACAACCGGCAAAGAAAAACCAGTAGAACAATGCAAAGCCCAGTGAATTATCTTGCTGGACAAATAAACATCCCAACCGCAGCACTTGGTAGGAAATGCACAGAAAATAAATCCACATGACAAAGTGTCGCCGCAGTTTATTGGGGAGTGTTATGCAAGAACAATGATGGGGAGACATTTTCGGACCAGGAAAAGGGGGATACAAAAAAGTGAGGACTACAAAATGTGTGCAAGCAAATCAAGTGAATTCTCAAGGACTCATGGAATTTAGTATCTTGTGATAATCGCATAAATATATTTACTTATTGACAACTATTATTCTGAGATACAAATAACTATTATTCTGAGATATAAACTAAGTTGATCATATTTATGATCAAAATTAGTGGGTGCCTAATGTTACTTTTAACCTTAATTTATAAATACCTTTTTTGAAATATATTAAATGGGTTATTTTATTATGATTTAAAACTACATTTAAAAAAAAAATTTGCCATTAAAATTTGGTTTTTCTTTTCACTTATTCGGGGTTTTTAATCTTCGAAGAAAGTCTTGTTTACCTAAACACCTTAAATACTTTATTAGATACTTCGATTTCTTAAAATCAAAACCCTTCCTTGCTTATTAATAACCAATTATAAATGCTTACTTCTTGAAAATAAAGCCCCCAATTAAACTCACCGCTAATTCAGTGGTTCGGTATTAATGCCATGGTTTCCATAAGCCACCGTGGTAAGTGATATCCACTCATGTCAGCCCACTAATCCATGAGCTACTCGGAAATCTTGGTCAGGAATCGTGTACACACACTAAGAATTAGTTGTGGAAAGTGGAAGGGATGGAGCCCATTTACTGAGCTCTGAAGTTTGTCTAATTAACCATAATTGAATCTTTCGCTAATTTGCTTAAGTCAAAAGCGCTTTAAACAGTCTTTCTATCCCCTCTCTCCCTCTTTCAATGTCTGTCTGTCTCTCTCTCTCTCTCTTTCTATCTGAGACTTTCAGATTCTAAGGAGCGCTTGAGTGCGTTGATAAAAAAAAATCTGATGGTAAGAGGAAAATGCCAAGTAATGAGAGGAAAATGGTTTTCCAAGAAAATTTCATCTTCGTTTGATATTTTATAAGAAATTTAATATTCACAATTTGTGTCAACTAATATTATTAGCTCCTAAACTAATCGGGAGTGCTTGGCGACTGGGCATATTAAAATTGAATGTAAATTTAGCTAAGATATTATTTCATGATGGACTAACTAAGTTAAAGTTCCCTATATTTTGTCTATACGGATTTACTTAAGGTCGCAAAAATGAAGACAATTACAGAAATAATATAACACTTTATAAAAACACCCGTGTGTTCAAATAAAAAATTTTTAAAAATTGTTGTGTGCGGTAAACTTAGAAACACATATGTTTTATTTTAGAATTTAATTATTGAATTTTTTTAAATTAATTCTAAAACAAAAACATTCATTTTAGCACAATCTTGGCATATTTTCTTTTTCATTATTAAATGCATTTTTTTGTTACATGTGAATTTTAAATATGAATTAATATCCAAAATTTTTAAGTTTTTTCCTAAAGTATAAATTTGTTCCATTCCATTATCTCTTTTATAAGAGCTGTTAAGCTGTAGCACTACTTAAGCATGTATAATTTTATGAAACTTGAGCTGGGGTCAAATGCTGGAGGGAAGAATGCATTGTCGTCATGGAAATGCATTGATTGGATCTCTGACAAAAAGAGGGACTTTAATGGGCCAATTATTAGGGATTTTCGCAAAACTGTGTGTGGGAAGGTACATAAATGTGTGCGAATGCGGGAGCCAATTAGGAAGACTAGGATCTCTTTGTGAAGAAGTTGGCGACTTTGGCAAGTGAAAGTTGTCGCCCCTAGCACGAAGTCTTGCTGCTGCTGTTCTCGTTTTTTGATGTTGCACATAATATGCACAGATACTTGGCATGCAATTAAGAAAATCCGTTGAGTCGCCGCGCCCATAAGACACACACAAGCGCCCCACATGCCACACGAAGCATGCTGCACTCTGCCTGCTTTTGTCAGCTTTTTGCATAGTAGCAACTTTTGCACCTCTCACTACTTAGCTCCCCCTAACAAAAACACAAGACCACACACCCACCCGCCTCCAAAACTTTTTGAAATGTTAACTAGCTAATGCAAATATACGTATCCACCTATCTGTATCTATAAATGTTACTTTAACCAACAAAAACTACTTATTTTCCTCGCTCACTAATTAAACTTTTAGACAAAAAAAAACTAAACTTTCTTTCTACCCCCGAAAATAAAAAAAAACTTTCCTTTTTCCGTGCAAAATTTTAATCAACACAAAAACTTACTTTTTGTTCTTAAATTTGTATTGTTTTAGACTTGGCTTTCATTTGAGTTGAATTTAACTTTAGCTTTGCGAACTCGAAAGCAGATAACAAATTTTAAGATTCGGTTTAATTTTGTACATTTATTGAGTATTGTTTTGGTAACTGATTAACCCGGAAAATGTCAGCTTTATGCAAATGAACTAACGAATGTCTTCTTTTTCCACCCCCAACCCGAAACCCCATCGAATATCTAGGCGCCTGGCGGACGAGGATGATGAGCTGTCGGAGGTGCAGCCGGATGCAGTGCCTCCGGAGGTGCGCGAGTGGTTGGCCTCCACCTTCACCCGCCAAATGGCCACCAGCCGACGCAAGAGCGACGAGAAGCCCAAGTTCCGCTCGGTGGCCCACGCCATCCGGGCGGGCATCTTCGTGGACCGCATGTACCGACGCGTCTCCAGCTCGGCCCTCACGGCCTTCCCACCGGACGTGGTCAGGCTGCTCAAGGTGAGTGGTTAAAAAATAATAACTATTTTAAATCATTAATAAAGTATCACCAAAATGTGTAGTTAATTTAAGTTGAAACCAGTGACGGATCTAGGATTTTGTTGTGGGTGTGATATCAAACAATTTGTTTGTTGAATTTTATTTAATTCCTTTCATTTGTGCGCCCGAACACCGAAATATCCTTAACTTTAAAAGTTGTATTGATTATGATTACAAAATGGGGAGAAGATTTCTAATTTTAGATTTATAAATTGTAATAATAAATGATAATATATATTTATAAAATGGAGTTATAAACAAAAAAAAAACGTAATGTTAGACAAACAGATGCGGTCAAAATAATATTAGTGCCACCGCCCTTCATTTTTCAAAGTTGGATGTTGTATTTAACCAAATTTGAGGTCATTTCTTTCAGAATCCTTGCGTGGGAAAATTTGAAAATAGCGATATAAAGAAAATACGGTTTTTTAATTACCCTTTCTTCAGATGAGAAATTTATTTCAACAAAATCAAATAATTAAGTGGTTCACAAAATTTGCAACTTTTTTAAAATTAATTTTGGTTTGTATGTATTTTGGTTGAAAACGAAACATTAGATATTTATCGATTTTTAGGCCATTTTTACATAATTTTTAGCAATAGGGAACAGGGAAAAAAAATTCATGTTTCTAGTAAAATCACCTTTAAATATAGAAAATTTCTAGAGGACTGGCGATTTAAAGTCGAGATTTCTCAATGTTACCCATAAAAACTTTTTAAATTGTTACCCATAGTTTGCTAATAAAGTATGTTTATTTATAAGGAAATCCTTGTAGCACCAGGAAATAAGAAATAAATAAATATGTTTTTCCGCAGAACCTGGACGACTGGACTTTCGACGTGTTCGCCCTGACGGAGGCGGCCAGCGGCCAGGTGGTTAAGTACGTGGCCTACGAGCTGTTCAACCGCTACGGCTCCATACACAAGTTCAAGATAGCGCCCGGGACGCTGGAGGCGTTCCTGCACCGCGTGGAGGAGGGCTACTGCCGGTACCGGAATCCCTACCACAACAACCTGCACGCCGTGGACGTGATGCAGACGATCCACTACTGCCTGTGCAACACGGGCCTGATGAACTGGCTGACGGACCTCGAGATCTTCGCCTCGCTGCTGGCGGCCCTGCTCCACGACTACGAGCACACGGGCACCACCAACAACTTCCACGTGATGTCGGGCTCGGAGACGGCGCTGTTGTACAACGATCGGGCCGTTTTGGAGAACCACCATGCCAGCGCCAGTTTCCGGCTGCTCCGCGAGGACGAGTTCAACATCCTGTCGCATCTGTCACGCGAGGAATTCCGCGAGCTGCGTGGCCTGGTCATCGAAATGGTCCTGGGCACCGATATGACCAATCACTTCCAGCAAATGAAGGCCATGCGCCAGCTGCTGACGCTCCAGGAGGCAACGATTGACAAGCAGAAGGTCCTGTCGCTGGTCCTCCACTGCTGCGACATCTCGCATCCGGCCAAACAGTGGGGCGTCCACCATCGCTGGACGATGCTGCTGCTGGAGGAGTTCTTCCGCCAGGGCGACCTCGAGAAGGAGCTGGGCCTGCCCTTCAGTCCGCTGTGCGATCGCAACAACACCTTGGTGGCCGAGTCGCAGATCTGCTTCATCGATTTCATTGTGGAGCCCAGCATGGGCGTAATGTCCGATATGCTGGAACTCATCCTGGCCCCCATTGCGCCGATGAACAAGGGCAAGCCGGCCACTTTGGTGGAGCAGGAGCCGATATCCACGTCGATTGCCATCCCGAATTCGGGGATCACGCCCAGCATGGACAAGCCGCGGGATCGCAACGAGGTGAAGGCCACGGCAGCCGAGTGCCTCGCGCGGAAGAGCGTCACCGGAAGCACCTCCAAGTTCCAGATACCCAAGCCATGGCTCACCTGCCTGGTCGAGAACAAGAGGATTTGGAAGGAGCAGGCCGTCAAAGGTGGGTTCCTTACGCTGTGAAAAATACGCAATTGATTTTAGTTTAGATCTCCCTTGAATAAGAAATTGTTTCTGCTTTAAAGAGGTAGATTTTCTAGATTTGGTAAAAAAATATTTCTGAAATCATAAAATCATATCTCAAATTTCTGCATCGAGATGATGGGACTTTAACTTTAACTAGAAATTTTTACCTTAATGTTTTTGAAGAAAAATAGATCTTTAAAATTTTTGAAATATATTTCTAAAATTAAAAAGGTTATATCTCAAATTTCTGCATTGAGATGGTGTGTTTTCTTTCCATAAGATTTTTATTCCAAAAATTAGTTCCCTGTTTATGTCGAAATTTTAGAAATTAATGTTGTAGAAGACAAAATTAATAAAAATATATTAACTAAATTCTGTGCCATTAAAAATATAAAAATATATTAACTAAATTCTGTGCCATTAAAAATATAAAAATATATTAACTAAATTCTGTGCCATAAAAACTAAATATAAAAAAAATGAAAAAGTAGTTAATTTAATAGCTGATAATTAATTAAAATACCTATATTTTGGATTATGATCTAAAAAATGTACAATTTACAAAACGGAAAATACCTGTAAACCTACTTAACTTATAAGAAATATTTTCTTAAAAATCAAAACCACGTTTTAAAAGTAGTAACAAATTCTTAAAATTAATAATTTGTTAGTGTAGTGCTTTTTTCATTATCATATTAATTGCCTGTCGACTTGGGCGCTTTTTGAAGTCACATTAACTGCGCTAATTGAGTTTGACCTGGCCTTCGCTTTGATCTGTCGTCTGCCTATGGGCGTTTATTATTCATGCATAAACCTTCTTACGCAGAGCTCATGGAACGGCGCCGAAAGAGCGGTCATTAGGCGAATCAAGACCCCCATCCCTCCCATTCAAGACCAATTCCTATCCCATTACAAACTAAAGTAAGTCTTTAAGGTGTTTTTTCTGGTAGTTATGTCATTTTCAATAAAATATATATTTGCAATAATATCATTAAAGACAAACATTTGTTTATAAAATCAATTACAAGATTTATTAATACCCTAGGGCAGTCCAAAAAATGATAGATTACAGTAAGAAAAAAATGTATGTGAAAACTAAACGTCCTCAAAGTTTTATTAAAAATTACTCATACGACACGTATAAGACTTTTGGTCGAAATAATCTTTTCTAGTCTTTTCAAATTATGAATTTTATCGAAACAATTAAGTAAAAAAAAACTAGAGCATAACATCAATGAATTGTTAAAAAGTACATCACCAAAATTAAAAAAAAGTGGTGGTTAAGAGCAACAGTGCGTATGGGTGATAAACTTTAAAGCCAATTGGCAGACCTTAGAACGCAATTTTTTTCAAAAACTTATTTGGTATACCTTAAATACCTCAGAGCGCACGTTATAGGCGGGGTAGAGGAGTACCTTAAAAATGTCCATACAAATGTGGACCTCCCTAATGTAGCTACATACGTATATTGAAGTTAAAAATTTATAAATAAGCATCTGTTCTTTCAAATGGATCTTCCTTTAATTTTTATTATAAATAGGTAATATTGATTAAAATTTTTTAAATAAGGTTATGATTTTCTTAAAAAAAAATTATTTATCCTTATTGCAAATATTTTTTTAAGTGTAAGCCACACTAAAATATTTGGTATGTCTAAAATTAGCTGAGGAACCACAAATGCAGGTTATTAACCCATTTTAATGTGTAAAAAGTTATATAAATAATACCAGCCCTTTTAAAATTTTAGCTTTAAACTCATTTTTGATTAACTACCTATACAAGGTAAAATTCTAAACCAAAAAATGTTTTTTTCCTTCAGATGCCGAGGCCCGAGCTTTGGCCACGGCAGCGGAAGAGGCCGCAGCTGCGGCGGCGGCGGAAGAGGAGGAAAACAAGCTGAAGGCGGAAACGGAAGCGACAACGGCCGATGGCGAACAAAGTGAGGATACCGCGGAGCCGGCAGATGGCGCTGCCGCCTAAAGTGGCCACGACGCCACCTGCCGGGCAACAGCCAGCTGAAACGAAAAAGGAAAATCGGAAAAACAGAATTCAAAATAAAGAAGGAGACTTGGGAACGAATATGGATGGCTACACTGAAAGAAACTGAGGAATAATGTTTACTAAGCTTAGAAGCAGCCTAGAATATTAATAACAAACCGCTTCAGATGCGCTCTCTATGTGAATTGTGGTAGAGTTAGACTAACGTACATCATCTAAATAGAACATTAATATCGATATATATACCTATATATATATATGTATAAATACTGTATACTTTGTTGTTGCAAGCGGAAAAACAAAAGAAAACTTAAGGAAATATTAGGGCCAAGCACAAAAACAAAACAGAAGAAAACGAGTAGATGTAAATAGCGAGGAGTTCAACTGAAATTTGTTGTGAATTTGTTGGTTCGTTGCGAGCATTTATACCTAGACTTGAGTTGTACTTGTCTTTTATTAGTTTTAGTCAAATGTGGAATTTATTGTATGATTTCTATAAGTTCGATGTACGCAATTTCGTTCTAATTAAATACATATATTTTTGTAACCGCTTCCATTTATTATTTTCGACTTTATTTTGTGTGTGTTTTTTGCATTTACCAAGCATTCGAATTGCTCAATCTATGGAGTGGTTTTCGCAAAGGGAGGACAGACTCTTTTGGGAGCTGTCTAGATATTAAGTACCTAACTAAAAACTAAACCAAAAAATACCTGACAACTAGCCGTACGACTTGTATATACTCTCTCTCCCCAAACAACAACCCCTAACAGACTTTCCTTTAAACCGAAGGATTTCGAAAACTTTCCACTCTACAAATGCACATAGCTACCTATACGAATGGATATTTAATACGTATTGTTAAGGATAGAATATTCACGTTTCTACAAAACATATTTATTTTTATACGAGAGCGCGGGACGAAAGAAGAGAAGGAGAAGGGCTTGAGTCGCAGGAGGTTTTGAGTTCCCTTCGTTTCGGTTTTCTTTTCTTTAACCAACTTGAAATGTTTTCAAACGTTTTTCAAAATGTCTGATAGCGGGACCATTCTTTTAAGATTTACCACTGCTCTTTACAGTCGAAAAGGAGCAGGATGAAAAGGGGGAAATGGAACCGGAAATGAAAGGAAAATAGGGAAAGCGATGGGAAAACCCCCAGAGACCGCGTCAAAGGGCAGTGGTAAAAGTGCTTAGCAGTAAGGTACCAAATTATCAGCTGAAATTGGGATCATAGCTTTATTAAGGTAGTCAATAAATGTACGAAAAAAAACGTGGTGCAGATGTGTATAGCGTTGGGAGGCTGGCAAACCATGTCTACCATATCTGGTGGCCACAAATTAAAAACAAACACAAACAGAACAAACGTACACAGCAGATTAATCTACTCCTAACCATTAATGGGATAAATATAGCGACAGAATATCTATTATGTGAACGTAAATATTATTGAAACAACACACACAGAATGTATGTTATAATGTATATCAAACTTGAACGCTCAAAGCGATGCGCATATATATCGTATAAATATATGTATAGCGACCTCTCTCAAAAAATCTGTACAAAGTCCTGATAACCTAGCGTTAGTTGCTGTATTGCTGTAACCCAGGCTCTGCAGACAGACCTTCAAAGTTGTTATTTATCTCTGTTGGAAAATTGAAAAATTAGCAAACTACAGAAATACTAATCGAACGTATATGCATATGGATATATATGAGGTTTACGATTCAATGTTATTAGCAAAAAGTAGCCTAGTAGTATCATAAACACACAACATATAAGACCGCATATTATGGTTCCAGTTAGCGAATAAAAATAACTTTGGGATGCTTAGAACTCAGCCATCTATCCCTGAGCTGGTGGAACATACAGTATATTTATAAGTTGAAAGCAATCATTACATTTAAATAATAATAATATAACCTAATTAAATAAAAACCACAACCCTAATAATACAAATAAAAAAGAAATACATTTTGTGTAAATACAACTTGCACAGGATGCAAAAAAAGATGTAGAATATTAGCGAAATGCACTCTAACTAACGGTAATCAAATAGCCAATCCAATCCACACCACCCAAAAAACCGAAGTCGCATATTACTGAGAGATCTGTAAATAACTTTGTTTCATCTATTCATTTCTAGCCCAGTTATTTCTATATCGAGTATAAGCAAACTAATTGTGTACTTTACAAGTTTTCGCAAAACAAAGGCCTACTAATGAAACGTTTTTAATTTTCCTACTATGTTAAACTCAACATTTAATATGCATAAACTAACGGCGATGGTAAAACAAATGCAAAAATATTTGAGAAACATGAATACGGCTGAGATGTATGCTTATTACGAAATACTTTCAAGTAAATTATAATAACACCATATGACTTTTAATATACTAATAAAAATTCTTATTAAACCTAACCGAGGGAGGTATTTTTTATAGGGAAAATAATTGTTTGAACAAAAGATTTACATGGCTTTTTATAAACAGAAGGATATTTAATAGTTTAATGCGTTTTCATAAGTAATATTCACATTGTATTTATTTGAAAATGATCTTGGAAATTTTTTTCTTCTATTTTCTTTTGTTTCTTATGTTACTTATTTTAAAAATCCGCGTTAAAATTGAAAACAGGAAATCGAAAGATGAAGTATATTTATAGACGATTGGTCGTCAATAAAAAAATTCTCGATTCACTTAAAAAAAATATTGTTAAATCTTCATTTTAATTTTAATTTAAATTAATGAGTTTGAACGAGAAATGAAATAATTGCCTGATTCATAATATTTTAAAACTATTATATTTTTTATAAATAATAGTTCTCCAACTTGAAAGCAACGTACAGTAATAATAAATAATAAATTAACGTCAAAAAAGACGTTACTCATTTCAAATTCAAAATGGGGAGCTGCCAACCGGTTTTGTTGTTTTAAGTCCCTCGATAGGTGTGTGTACGGGCTATGTCTCAAGCGGTACCTATAAAATGTGCAGTTGGTGTCACCGCTAGTGCAAGTCAACTTTTAAGAAAGACCGTATTTTTGGTATATTAAAAGAAATCAAAATGGTATTAAAAGTATATTTACCGGAGCCGGATGGTATAATTGATCGGTACATCCGCGGTCACACTGGGTACATTTTAGAGACCTCGATGTTTCGATGTTTTGGAAAACATCGATGTATCGATACATCGCCGATGTTATTTCCAGCTCTAGTACATTTCATTTTATTTTTCGAGCAGGTAATTAAACTAAAAACGCGAGGAAAACGCTTAAGATGTGTGAAAAGTGGCAGATTAAGTGAGAGCCAAAGTGGCGGCCATCGCCCCAACATTGTGATGGTCATTATAGATGCCCAACTGGGGAAAACCTCCGTTTGGTGGCCATTCGTGGGTGTTTCTCCGGGCAGAGGCCGAGCAGCGCTGCCGGCGTCGACGGCGACGCGAGCGTTAAATTCATTCATTCATTCCATGATTAATGTGCGGGGAAAAACGCTGCGACGTTTGACAAGCGATACGGCAATCTAAAAACTGGGCCATCAGTTTGCGATCCCGGTGACAATTCGTCCCACAGCCCCCGCAATTCCCCTCCGCAAACACGGTCACAAGTTTCTTTTTGCTGCCGCCCCGCCCCTCCAACAAAAAGCCAGAAAAAAAGTATCGGAATCGTGCTCCCCCTACAACAAAAAAAATAAGAAAAAGAAAATAAAACAAAGACCTCGCCAAATTAGGCAACTTGCAGCCCAGTTTCGTGTCTGGGGTTAATTAATTTTTTTGCACAACAATCTGAATCTGGCCGGCCTCTAAGCCAAAACGATTCCGCCTATAAACAGAGCAAATAAACGGTAGATAGTAAAGATATCAGGGCTCTCCAGGTCGAATTCGGAAGTACCCTGTATAAACTATCCCCATTTTTAATGATATATGTGTGTAGTTCTGTGGAATATTTCTATTTCATTGTCATGTGATGGCTGCCACTTCATTATCTTTAAAAAAAAAAACAAAGTTATCATATCATATCTGTGTATATAGATCTATTACAATCTAAAAGCTTGTTAAAAAATATCAATTTCACTCGATGTTTCTTAACATTAAAGGTTTTTTTTCCATGTAACTAAGTTTTACAAATCCATTTTTTATTGTTTCATAATTTATTTTAATTTTTTTTTTATTTTAATAAATGAAGGATCATTTTTTAAGCCATGTTTATGTTATTTCCCAATAAAACATTTAAATGAAAGATCATTTTTTAAGCCATGCTATTGTTATTTCCCAATAAAACATTTATTTTAATAGGATAAAAATCGGATTAATAACACCATGTTAAATATTATTCAATTCACTTGATGTTTCTTTTCATTAAAGGCACTTTTCCATAGAATTAGGCTATTAACATCCAATTTCTATGGTTTTATAAAATACTTTAATTTTGTTTAATATTTTAAAATATAAAAAGATCAATCCTAGCGCAGTGTTTATAATATTTGCCAATAAAACATTTATTTTAATAGAATAAAAATCGGATTAATAACACCTTGTTAAAAAGCAATCAATTAACTTGGTTTTTCCTTAAATGAAAGGCCATTTCTCCATAGAATTAAGCTATTAACATAAATTTTCTATTTTTTCATTAATTTTTTTTTATTTTGTTTAATATTTTAAAATATAAAGAGATCAATTCTATCGCTGTATTTATAGTAATTGTCAATAAAACATTTATTGTAATAAATCTAATTGGATTAAAAGTGGTAGTTGATAGGAAGTCATATAGCTATTAATAACCCTTCTCTAAAATCGTATAATACCCTCTCTTAGAGCAACTCAATTAATAATAATGGGCTGGGGGTATGAGTAGAGATTTGCAGATAAGATCGAATAGAATCCGGCGCTAATCGTTATCTCTCCTTTTTTTCAGCAAACGCTCGCCGGCAGCGGTAATTGTGGAGCGATAGAAACGCCAGCGCCATGCCCATAGACATAGACGCACGACGACCAAGTGCCAAAAGCGAGAACCGAGCGTGAGCGACTGCCAGGAGCAGGATCCATCCGAATCCGCTAGTCAAGAGTGAGCGAGTGAGCGCTTGTGCCAAGCCAAGTTGCATTTAGTTTGAGCCCCCACCCGACCAACCCAAAAGCGAGAGATGGGCAACAAGAACTCGTGCTGTGCGTACTCCAGTCCGCAGTCGGATCGCAAGTCCAAGGACATGCCGCCGGTCTTCGAGGAGCGCCACCAGCTGAGCCATCCGCCGCACACGTCGCAGCATCAGCTGGACGGCCACCACGGCTCCACGTCGGCGGTGCATCTGCATCACCATCATCATGGTCATCAGCAGAATCAGCAAAGTAGTGGCGACAATTTCGAGAACCAGGCCAATCTGCAGCACATCTCGGAGCGAGAGGCGCTGGAGGGCGAGGAGGATCCCTCGGTGGATCCCACGGCGGCCACCATGTTCCTGGAGCGTTCCAAAGTGGAGAATGGCGGGATGACGCGCAAGCGTTCGCAGCAGCAGATTGCCCAGCAGACGGGAAGTGGCGGGGGCGGCGGAGGAGGCAGCACTCCTGGTGGAAATAGTTGCGGCGGAGGAGGCGGCGGCATGAAGAAGAGCTCCTCCTGCTCGACAATCTATCTGGATGACAGCACGGTATCGCAGCCGAATCTTAAGAACACCGTCAAATGCGTCTCGCTGGCCATTTACTATCACATCAAGAATCGCCAGTCGGACCGACGGCTGGACATTTTCGATGAGAAGCTGCATCCGCTGACCCACGACCAGGTGCCGGAGAACTACGATACGCACAATCCGGAGCACCGGCAGATCTACAAGTTCGTGCGCACGCTCTTCAACGCCGCCCAGCTGACCGCCGAGTGCGCCATCATCACGCTAGTCTACCTGGAGCGGCTGCTCACCTACGCGGAGCTCGACGTCGGTCCCTGCAACTGGAAGCGCATGGTGTTGGGTGAGTCGCGGTTGGGAGATCTGTTTTGTAAATAACAAACACTGCTGCGGCAACGTTGAAAGGAAACCTGAGCTTTTGGAATGCACTACTATCAAACATATCTAAAATAATCAAGATAATAATCCAGACCTCAAGTCATTATTCATTCATTACTCGAGTAATTGTAGTAAAATTTGATTCTTATAAACTTTATTTGAACATTTTAATTATCTTATTTTAAGAACTTAATAGAACGTTCCTAAAACTCCTATGTTGGTTTGAAAAAATTTAGATATGAGTATTAAAAATATTCCTTTATTCAATCTCAACCAATATTAAAACTTTAAAAACGATAAAAAAATAAATAATAATCGAAAATAAATAACTCATGAAAAAATAGTCAAGATATAGACCTTATAGAAGGGATTTTTCTTGCAATTGTAGTTATATTAGTTTCCAACATTAAGTTTAATGATATGAGTATTGCAAAGTATGATTCTTTTGCAATTTCAACAAACATAAAATTTTTGAAATCGATAAAAAAATTCTTAAAATCTACTAAAAACATTTTTTTAAAGTTTATAATATAGAAGGGATTCGTTTTGTTATTGCAGTGATATTAGTTTCCGATAGTAATGTTTAATGATATGAGTATTGAAAAATAGGATTAATTTTGCATTTTCAACAAATATAAAATTTTTGAAATCGATAAAAAAAATTACTAAAAACATTGTTTTGAAGTTAATAATAAAATGTAATTTAAATAACATTTTTGTTAAATTGTTAAGAAAAAAAGTCTTGAAGAAAAGAAGTTTAGACTTAGTTTCGATCACAAAATATTTTGTCTAAAAATCATATTCTTACAAAAATAATGAATTAATTAATTTCAAGTTACTTTAATACAAGTTACACATTTTTTACTTTCTTTCATAAATTAAAAATAATTTGTAAATATATTTATTACCGTTGACTATTTATTACTACTAACAATTTTATTTCAATCAAATTACTAAATTATGTCCAATTTCCCGCAGGTGCCATTCTCCTCGCCTCGAAAGTGTGGGACGATCAGGCCGTTTGGAACGTGGACTACTGCCAGATACTCAAAGACATCACCGTGGAGGACATGAACGAGCTGGAGCGGCAGTTCCTCGAGCTGCTGCAGTTCAACATCAACGTGCCGTCCTCGGTGTACGCCAAATACTATTTCGACCTGCGGACGCTGGCCGAGGCCAATGAGCTCAACTTCCCCACGGAGCCGCTGTCCAAGGAGCGGGCCCAGAAGCTGGAGGCCATGTCGCGGGTGATGCAGGACAAGGTGACCGCCGAGGCGCTGAAGAACGGGATCAAGAAGTGGTCCTCCATGGACAACATCAGTCAGGGCGGGCCGCGTCGCAGCGTGGCCATACTATCGTGATTTATATTAGCTTACTAAAGAAACAGAACAACAACCATCGTCGGGCAGCATTGAGTCAGGAAATGTGTAATCCGTAGTCCGTAGTCCGCATCCGATCGATCGTAACTTGAGAACGAACAACCGTAGCTCTCCAGGATTTTTAGCCAGCACTCTAAAGGAACATCCATGCAGAATCATATACAATACACTCAAAGAAAAACGTTTTAACCACACGTCTCGAATTAAGGACCACTTTTTACATATACATGCGAACGATGTATATTCTTGTAAGCGAAACTACCGATTGCAGTCAAGGATTTGGATGATTTTAACACAGAAGAGAGGAGATACAGAAGTACTACAGCAACGCGTAACCAATTGCCAAACGAGAAATCACAGAAACAGTAGAGAATTGTTTGTAAAAAGGCTTAAATATTTGTAATTGAGTCGGATCGGATCGGATCGGCATCCAATCAATTTAATCTCAACGCGAGAAATCGTCATTTACTTAGCGTCCGCGCCCAGAACATTTCCCTGTACATTTGTTACGAATTTAATTTGTTTACTTTGCCCCATTTTCTTAATACCTTAATATGATTTCGTGTGATTCTTATAGTTTCCATTTAGCTTTATACGATGAACGATATATATTCGGCTTCCCCGCAAATCAGGCTTTAGGCACAAAAAGAAGAGGAGTAGAAGGAGGGGCGCGGCCTGCGGCAAGTTGATTTGTTTTTTTCGGTTCTTAGCATTAGAAAACAAACAAAATATGAGCAAGAGTATGGAAGAGCACAGCGCAATATTAACCCAAAAGATTTGTGAGTAAATTAATGTACTAGACATATAAGGATACGAATTATATGCAAAATGTATTTTATTTTGTAATTTATTTTACGATAAAGCTAAATAAAAGCAAATCAAAGAGGAAAAGTTGTTTGCTTTCTGGGGAGTCGCGTAGAAAAGGTAATGTATGAGTTATAGCTGTTGTTTTGAATTACTTTCAAGTCTGGAATGGGAAACAATATTTAAAATCCTTTCAAAAAATTCTTTAAGTCAGCCGAAACATTTTTTTCTAAATATTTACTTTAGATCAATTTTAAAATTTCTATCAAGTTTTGTGAAATAATATCTCAAAATCTTCGATCCAAAATTATTTTTTAAAGTAAAAAAAAGTAGCTCGCAGAATCGTAACTTTAATTTGGAAGATCTTTAAATCACCAAATTTTTTATTTTTGAGGTTATTTTTTTACAAAAGCAATGTTTTCTAGACCATAAAAAATGCTTTTGTGTATTTGTCAAAATTGGTAATATAAATTTAAATAATTTATTGGTTGTTGTAGAGTTCAACTGCTTCAAAAATGGTTAAACTATCACATATTACTTTAGGTGATATGATGTGAGCCTTTATAAAAATACGGTGTTTGTTATATTATTTAAACAAGGATTGGCTATAACTAATATTTCTAATTAAGTGTAAAATTAGAAACAAACCGAATGCAATTTGCAAAATACAACATTAAAACAAGAAGCATTCTAGTGAATGCTTAACTATTTCTAGTTAATAAATAATGTAATCTAGGCTTATATCGAAAATCAATTTTAAATCTTAAGTGAAAGTTTTAACAAGCGGAGACTCCTACCAGTCATTTCATAAGCCAAAAATATACCGCCGGCTGAAAAGTGAGGATGGTGTCTTGGCTAGGTTACCAAATACACCCCCCGCCGTTGCAGTATTACCGTTTTTGGAATTTCTTTTGGTATATTTGAGTAAACAAAACTGGTATATTCCATGGAGCCGGACGGTTATTACGCGGTCACACTGATACACTGCTTCTCTCGCTCTTCCGCCCGCAACTAAAACTCTGGATCCGCGTTAAATGTTAAGAAAATAAAGACACCGATCTAACTAATTAGCCAACTAAAAGTGTATGCTGTACAGTGCGCGCAATGCAGTTAGTGACCAGATGAGAGTGATAACCGCGATCGGGGGAAATACGGAGATATATAACTGGGATCGCCATTGAGCAATTCGAAAACGGCGTCTGTCGTCGACGAGGGACGCTGCTGCTGCAACCAGAAAAAGGAGTGGTAGCTGCTGCTTCGTTTTGTGGATAAAAACTAACTCAATCGCCTGGTGAGTGCAATTCGAATTGGCGAGTCCTGCACTCAAATTGGCCAATTGGACCCGGTCGAATTTTTGTGCTTAACCATTTTGCCGCCTTTTTGTGCCCAAGCCCCGAAAAAGCAGCACCATCAGTTGTCTGGGGGAGGGGGAAGGGAGGGCAGAGACAGCGGCAGCGAATCGTTAATAAGAACAACGCAATCACACGCACACACATATGCAGGCTCTAGCACGCATTGTATCTGTATCTTGCGGTGTCTCTCGTACTCGCTCTCGCTCTCTCGCTGCCTCCACACCTCTTGCCAGTGCTGCTTGTCTAGCGATTTGGTAGCTGGGTTTGAGTGGTGCTATAATTGCAGGTGGACGGTGGACTGTCTTAAATGCTATTTGTTAGTTGTAAATATAGCTTTTACTCAGACACTCAGACAAAATCATTCATTTTCTATTGATATTTCCAATTCTGTTTTTAATTATTTTATTTGTCTGATATTTTAGTTTTGGTTAAAGTAAAAGACTAAAAAAGAACTGATATTTCTCATGTTCCTACTGCCAGGATTTCATTGAAAGGGTTTCCAGATAAAGCTTTGAGAAATATCGACAGTTTGCGATTTCTTTATATTTAATTTGTGGTTTAAAAAGTTTTGAATCAAAACATCGATATTATCGAATGGATCTTTTTATAAGATCGAAAATATAGATAATACGAAATAATGTTTCTATATGTTTTTACCTTTTTACTGAAAATGAGAAACTTGTTTTCTTGACAGACGGATTATACAAAAAGGGGTATGTCACCTCAGTAACTTCAAGGTTAATTTTATCTGATCTTTTGAATTACTTTTAAATTACGGGCTAAGATAATGACTTAAAAGTTTATATTAGCTTTCCAAGCCGATAAATAAATATATCGCTAGAAAGATCAAGTGTTCGCTTTATAAATGCCAGCACTGTCGATTACCAGGGCTGCGTGGACCACAAAAGGATGGCTACAAGTGCCAAGAAAGAGAGAGGATTGCCTTATTGTCAAAACGTTAAATAAGAATGTCGAACAAAGCAAAAAAAAAAAGTTCAGCAGGTAAAAACCCAAAACGAATCCGCGAGAGAGGGATCCTCTCGCCAAACCGGCTGCACTGGCTCTCCCACCGGACTTGTGTGCTTTCGGCTGCCGCCCGAACGCGCCGCACGAAGAACTTTACATCGCCTGCTCGCCTTCTGCTGCCTCCGCGTCTCATTCAGTTTTCAGTTTGCTTTGCTCTGTTCGCCGTTCACCACCGCCTCTCACCCGCGCGGCGTTTCGATTCTGATTGCCACTACTGTTGCACACAAACACACGCACACGGCCGGAGAGTGTGTCCGTGTGCCCGCCACCACCACCACTGCAATATCAAGTAAATTTTCATATACTGGCGTCATAAGAACGAACAACCGTACTTTTAAAAAGCTTGTAAAAACTGCAGTGCCGACGGAGGGGTGGGGATGCAGGTAGAGGGGGGTGGGGCCGAGGGGTGGGGGGTAGTAGCGGGAGGACCGGGGCTGATTGGAAACAATTGTGTTTATTTGTGAAATTCGCAGGCAAAAAAGAATGCGAGAAATATTAATCAAATGACTTTGCGGTCGACTTTGCTGCCAGTGTATTGGTGTGTGAGAGTGCGAGAGTATCTGTGAGTGTGATTTTGTATGTGAGCTGCGCACATCCACAGCCACAGAGTTCCCATTAACGTCATCATCGTGTCATTCTTGCAAGAAGACGATGGGAGAGGAGAGAGGCGGGGACGCAGGGTTGCATTTTTCTGAAATTTATTAACATTATGCCACTTGGAGCGATCCGATCGGCAGCGCTCTTTGAATTGGCAATATTTCGCCGCCATATGTTAGAACGAAACTCCTTTGGCTTTTCCAATTGCCCACCGAACGTTTGTCAGTCTGTTTTGTTTAACAATTATGAAATGCACACTAATTGGCTGTAATGAAAATGTGACTCTCCAACTCGATCCTCCATCTCCTTTCGCCCATTCGATTCGCCGCTCTCTCGCTCGAAATTTGAGCGACAGCCAAACAAAATTAAAAATAAAAAAAGCGGCAGCGGCGGCAATAATTATAACTATAACTCGAGTTTCGGATCTCGGCATATAGAATGTGAGCCAAAAGGCAAAACTTGTATTGTATCGACGCGCCGCCTGTACTCGCTTCCATCTCTCTCTCCCTCTCTCGCGCTCGCTGCTCCCGCTCTCGCTCTCTCAGCTTTCATTTTTTTGTCTCGCCTCGCTTTATTTTGTACTTACGCTTTGCGATTCAATTCGTTTTTATTGGTTTTCCGCTTTAGGCGGCTGGGAATTGTACGTAGCGTCGTTCGTGCAAAACGTTGTTGTTGTTGCTGCGCCCACTGGGGGCGGGGGATGGGGTGGCGTTGTCGTTCAATGAATAATGAGAGACAATGTAAGGCAAAGAGAGCGAGAGAGGCAGACGGGCCATCGAGAGCGAGCGAAACAAGAACAACACATATAAAAAAAAGCAAAGCAAAGCCGTGTACAAAAGTGCACGAAAAGCCGTGGGCAAGGGAACGAAGAGGAGGAGGCGGGACAGCAAGAAAGAAAAGATACAACTTTTTTTCCCTGCTGGCAGCCAAAAGCAAAGCACGGTGGGGAGCGGGAGAAAAGGAGGAGAGGAGGCCCCCCGTCTAGAATCTAGAAGAAAAGCAGAGAAGACTGACTGGCTGAGATGCACGCACGCACATACAGCTCTTCTAGATATAGATACAATTAATTTGATTTGTTAGCACCGCTCGTTCGCCCGAATGGGGAATATAGTTGGAAATGTAAAATTTGCAATACCCCCTCCCCACCCGATCCGCCCCCTTTCAAATTCAATTCCCATTCCCTTTCCAATTAGAGTTAGAATATTTTTGCTCTTCCTACCACGCAGACGCAGCTTTGGTTTAGATGTGTTGGTGACTTTTGCATATATTGGCTGCAAATAAATTTTCGCTTGATTTGCTATCGCCCCCCGTCCACTCTTCTCTGCATGTGTGTGTGTCTGCGTGGAAGTGGAACTGAAAATGAAACTGGAAGCAAAGGGAAAAGGGGAAACTGTACCGCGGGCCGTTTGAATATTTCGCGTAAACATAAACACCGCAAACAAACTGTTGCTCACTGGTTATTATTGTTGCCATGCCTCCCCTCTCGTTTCAGCGCTCAGGTGGCCCGAAGGAACGTCCCCGTATCCATCTAAATATATACCTCCAAGTCCGCTCCTGGCGAGCCCCCCAGTGAAATCGCCTGAACCGGGCCAAAAAGAGAACCACATGAGGTAAGTGATTTCAATTGCTGTCACATCAAAATACAGGGTGACTCTACAGCTCACCGCTCACCACCCAAAGGGGTAATTCCACCCCATTTATTGCGGAATATTTTGTTGTGCCATATGGCCTATTGTTTTCATAAAGAAAAGCGGCGTTTTGGAAATTTATAATCCTTTTTGTAAACACTAAATAGGATGGAAAACTACTGTGAATCTTTGGGCATTCATTTATTCATGTAGTAAATCCGTTAAGTTATTAATAAGTTTTTTTGTTTTTTTCTGTCGAAGTAAAAATTTCAAATATCTTAAAATATTTCAATTTCACCAAATATTTTAACAGTTTAACAGGTAACAGTTATGTTTAAAAAAAAAACAGATTTTAGATATTATTATAAACTTATTTCAACGTGTTATTTCCAATTTAAGATTATGAGGCTCAAACCTTTCTCGAAAAAAGTTATATTGGAGACGAACCTAAGACACCGGGTCTAAGATCTGTGATAATGGCCAAATATATTAGCCAGTTTCTCGCTCAGGCACCGATTTACAAAGTCAGGCTTCATAAATTGACTTACATTAAGCCTCGACACCTTGCGAATAAAAGCGACTATAAAATGTTAATTTGTGGATTGATCTTTTTGAGATACTTGAAATTCTCTTTAATGTCTAAGCTTCATTCCCATCATTATGTTAAGCTAAATGCTTCTAGAAATCTGAGATATTTTCCAACCTACTTTTAGCTTGAAGTAAACATAAGTTGGCGTACAAAAGTACTTAGAGCCACCAACGTATAATACCTTAAATACTTTGTTAAATTTGTTCTTTTCTAAAAGTTCTTAAAGAGGAATATAAGGGAGCTTACGAATTTTTGACCCTAAAATAAGAGATGTAAATAAGATGTCAAAAATTGTAACACAATTTTATTGATATGGTACCCCCGTTTGCGGTTTGCACTCGATTAATTCGTTTTATAGCGATGCTTGAGTTACAGTTACTTAATATGGGGCGGGGGACCACCCCCTTGCAGATTGGGCCATTTGTCTTGTGTTTTGTGCTTGGCTTCATCAGCACTTTACATGCTCCAAACGAAACCCACCCACTTTTTTGTCTTTCTGCCCGGGCTTGGCACTCGCACACACATGTGCGTGAAAAAGATATATGTATTTGAGCATTTGCACACACACACAAACTTGAAATCATTCCTACCTCACCACATTAAAAGTGGCGCCCTTTTTAGTGTCCTTTCTCCCGTTCCTCGCTCTCCTCTATGTTTGCTGAATTATTTGCTCCAGAAAAACAAGAGAGTGTGAGAGAGCAATCAGTGGGGGCTCCTCTCTCCTCTCCCTCACTCTCTCTTCCATTTGCTTAGCCTGTAAGCTGTAAGCTGTAACTGTAAAGCGCTTAGCGAAAAGGGACAAAACCAGGACCTATGCAAACACTCCCCTCTTCTCCCGCTCATGCGCGCGCTCTCCCTCCCTGTGCTGTTGGCTCCCCTTCCTAACCTCTCGCACTCTCTCATCTATCTTTAATTCGCAGCTCGGTTTTTCCTAAACACGCACACACTTACGCGTTGTCTTTAATCGATTTGTACTTCTTGATATTTACATCAGCTCCCCACTCTTACACCCCACTCTTTCTGCTCTACCCTGTCTCGTTGCGCGCTCTCTCTCACTGCTTGCATTCTCTGATTGGATATCTAAATCCTGGATCCTGCCCCTCCCTCAGTTTACCAGCCTCAAATCCCAGCTCCACTCCCTTTTTTCGCTTCCCTTGTCATTCGTTTTGCTGCCTTTTGCCATTTACAATTTATATAAAGTTATTTCATTGTGCTCACTCTGCTTCTGGCCCTTCTCCTTCTTCTTTCTCTTCTTGTGCTGATGAAGACATAGCAATATGGGTATGTGTTGGTATTGGTGTGGGTGTGGGTGTGAGTCCTGCGGTCCGCTAATGGGCAATTTATATCACTTTTAATGCCCAGCAGCAAAATCAATAAACTGGCCAACATCTTTTTACATAAATTAGTCCTGGGTGATGATTGTTTGCTGTAAGTGGATATGAGTATGAGTATGAGTATGTGTGTGGATTTAGGGCTCAACTGTACTTGCATTATGTATGTACAATGTACACACATGCAGATGACATTCGCATTGTTGAAGGGTTAACGGTCGCACATTGCACTGCAAATCCGTTATGTCCTTCAGCAGCAGAATCCTGACAACATTCCAAGAGAATACCATACCAAACCCCCCAAATGGCATATGGATAGATTATTTTTAAGGATGTTATGGGTAAAACGCCTTGGGGTATGCATCGAATTCTTTGAATTTGGAAAACTTTATATTCCAGTTTGTTTTTAAAACCATATTGTAGCCATAGTCAGATGTTATGGGTAGAACGCCTTGGGGTATGCATCGAATTCTTCGAATTTGGAAAACTTTATGTTTCAGTTTGTTTTTAAAACCAGCCTTAGTCAGAATTGAGCTTAACTAACATCCAAAGATTCTATTACCATTTAATTCATGACTAATTTTGTAACTATGAGCCATTAAAACTGTTTATTAATCTCCTATCTCGTTTACTTTTATTTGGTTTATTTACAAATTGTCTTAATAATGCAAATAAGAAAAAAAATTAATAATTATAATTTCCTGTTGAATCATCTAAGGATTTAAGAACACAAATATTAAATAGATAAAGATAAAAAAATTAAAAATTATAATTTCCTGTTAAATGTTCATGGAAATATGTTAAGGCTAAGCATACAATCATACAATTATTATTTATTATTTCACGCCCTCTAAGAACCTAATATAAAAAATCCTTCCCCTTTTTCGAAAAGATTTGATTTCAATTAATTTCATCCATTTCCAGGTGAACGATAGGAATTGGCTGAGCGCCAATTACACACACTCTACACACGGATCAACTGTCTCACCAACACCCCCACAGGAGAAGCAGCAATTTCATGGTAATTGTCCCCCGTCAGCGACGAAAGATACAGACCAAGAAAAATACCTGAGCAGCCAGAGATTAAGTGACACCACCTCTCCACCTTCCACTTGCATTTTTTGTTTGTTGTAGCCACGCTCAGCGAAAGCAGTCGACAGCAGCAACAACAGCAATATGTAGGCGCTCCACAGCAGCAACAACAACACATGAAATACAAGCAAGAACAGCAGCAACAACAACAAGAACAACAACCCCCCAACAACAAAACAAACATAAAACGACATAATTAAGTTATAGAAATCAGGGAACGAGCAACGCCGCAACGATCTTCGCCAGGATCTGCACACAAGAATGCAGCACGTGAGCGCTGCTAGCTCGGTGCCATCAGTAGTAGCCCCTGTTGTGACCACTGGTGGGACGACGATCACCTTGGGCGGCCCACCGCCGCTCCCCAAATCGGAGCACAAAGAGGATGGCAAGCCGCCGCACGGCATCGAGATGTACAAGGTGAACATCGAGGATATTTCGCAGCTCTTTACCTACCACGAGGTCTTTGGCAAGATCCACGGCGATGTGGTCAATCATCAATTGGCGGCGGCCCACGGTGGGCAATTGCCACCACCTCCGCCGCTGCCGCCGCAGGTCAGCAGCCATGCGGCAAGTGCAGCGGCAGCAGCAGCAGCCGCATCGACTAACAATGCCGCCGTTGCAGCGGTAATGGCCTCAGCGAATGCAGCAGCAGCGGCGGCGGCAGCTGCATCGGCGGGCGGACAGCAGCAGCAACAGCAACAACTACCGCCGGCAACCAGCGGCAATGGGGGCCAGCAGGTGACGGTAACGACGACCAGCAGCTCGACAAGCAGCGGCGGCGGGAGCACCACCAGTGGGGGCACCACGACCACGGCGGGTGAGTTGCTAATGCCTAAAATGGAGGGCGGCATACATGGCGTGGACGGCAGCGGCAATGGCGGCAATGGCGGCGGGCAGAACGTGGCGCTGGCGCCGGACGGTACGCCCATTGCGACGGGGACGCATGTCTGCGATATCTGCGGCAAGATGTTCCAGTTCCGGTACCAGCTGATCGTGCACCGGCGCTACCACAGCGAACGGAAGCCGTTCATGTGCCAGGTGTGCGGCCAGGGCTTCACAACATCGCAGGATTTGACGCGCCACGGCAAGATCCATATTGGCGGGCCCATGTTCACCTGCATCGTGTGCTTCAATGTGTTCGCGAACAATACGAGCCTGGAGCGGCACATGAAGAGGCACTCAACGGACAAACCGTTCGCCTGCACCATTTGCCAAAAGACCTTTGCCCGCAAAGAGCATCTGGACAATCACTTCCGCTCGCACACGGGCGAAACGCCCTTCCGTTGCCAGTACTGCGCCAAGACGTTCACGCGCAAGGAGCACATGGTCAACCATGTGCGCAAACACACGGGTGAGACGCCACATCGTTGCGATATTTGTAAGAAGTCCTTTACGCGCAAGGAACACTATGTTAACCACTACATGTGGCACACTGGTGAGTGTGATTGATTGGTGGGGGCGGACAATGCGAGCGGCGAGCGCCAAAAACAAACAAACAAAAAGACAGATCAGAATCTCTCAGAACTAAAAACCAAACTCCAGTCAGACCAAATTATATCCATAGAGTACAAGAACAAGAACAACAGCCATCACCACATCACACCAACCAACCAAAAAACCAACCAAGAACCAAATCAAAAAAATTCAACCAACCAACCAAAAACCAATCAAAAAAGAATTGACAAAAAGCACCGCAAAAAAAAAATATATATATTATAAACTTCATCGTGCGTCCTACGTCTTCTTCCACCCACTCTCTTACACTCTTCTATCTCGCTCATCGCTTGTGCTTCTTCTACCCGCCAACTCCCACAGTCCCGCCCACTGTACTCACACAGAGAGAAAAAAGTATTAACTCAAATTGGTCGTACATTTGGTATTAGATCTTTCCTATCAAAAAAATTAAATATAAAAAATTCACTTGAAATCATTCAAAATTTCATTCCGTCTCAAAATTCCATTGTTTGAAATAAAACACTACATCTATATGAAAAATATTTAACATTTAAGAAATGATTTAAACTTAAAAGCATTTTTATCGCTTTTAGAATTTTTTTTATTTCTGTTGGAGGTATTTTCAATGAAATAAGATATGACATCCCAAAAGATTTTAAAAAATATTTTTTTAAATCTTCCGAGTTCTTAGAACCAATCTGAAAGAAATCCAATAATGCTGATAATTGTACTCATTTTTTTTCTCTGTGCCGAACTAACGCTTCAAGCGAAGGAATCTCCAGAGATTTGGAGAACGCTTCTCGCCTAATCCCGCTACAAAATAAAAAGAAAACACGCTCACTCGCTCATACCGCTCCATTTCCCCCCAACCATGATCTCTGCATCACACATCCCCAGCTTCACCACGTCTAAATCATGCTCACATGCACCACCAATCCAAAACACACACTCTTCATCCAGTGCTCGCTCCACTCCACCACTCCAAGTCCAAGTCCAATCCTTCACTCCCGATTCGATTCGATATATAAAATGCCTGTGTAACTTTGTCTACGCTCTCTCTGCTGTCGAAACAGGGTGCCCAAAGCAAAGAAAAGTCAAGAAAAGAAAAGTTCGTTGTTGCTGCTTGTCGATTGCCAACGTCTCTGTGTAACTGCGACATTTAACACTCGATCACACAAAAGCAATTGGAACACACATACACACAACACAAGACATAACCAGCTCACCTGCATAATAAATATCTGCTATGTAGGGATCTACTATCTTTAGCTCTTTGGCGAAACTTTCTTTCGGAACTCCACGTTCCACAATACAAAGTCAAAGCATCCTGGAGACGACCAGCATTGAGTAGAAGCAGAGTTGACAGGCACACACAAAACAAAAAACACACATCCAATGAACATCCACACCACATACAATCCACATCACATCTGACACCACCACCACCACCACGCCCACGTCCATATGCCCGAGCCAGCAGCCTCCGTTCGCTTCGTTCGTTCGAAACCACAACAACGCAAGCCACGGCCAGTTTCACACCAAAAAACAGAAAAGAAAGATGAAAGATTTAAATGAAAAAAAAAATTAAATTATAAACCCACCCACCCACGCAGCCACCCAACCACTAAACAAAAAAATGAAATAAAAGTAACTGGTGCGCGGGGATGGGTCGGGGGATCTGAAATTTTGTTTTTTCTCCAATCTGCCACTAGTTCTCCAAACGCTTCCCAACGATCCTTTTGGAGAAATAGCCGACAGATACGAGTTGTGAGAGAAAAAAGAAAATGCTTGCGCTAACGAATGCGATTTTGTCTTGTCGAACGAGATCAAAAGCCATTCCCTATATACAACAATTCCGTTTTGTTCTGCCTCCCCTCTCCAAAAAAAAAAATTCAGGTCAAACGCCCCATCAGTGCGATGTCTGCGGCAAGAAATACACGCGCAAGGAGCACCTAGCCAACCATATGCGATCGCACACCAACGAGACGCCGTTCCGTTGCGAGATCTGTGGCAAGAGCTTTAGCCGCAAGGAGCACTTCACCAATCACATACTCTGGCATACAGGTAAAGAGACAAAACGAATCGTAAGCCCGCCTCTGACTCCGCATCCTGATTTCCGATTCCTGAGTCCACGAACGATCCTGCCAAATCCAGAACCATATTTAAAGGTTCCTTCCTCCAGCTACTACAGTCCACGACACATCAAAAATACCTTGTATACACAGACACTTGGCGGCGCATTTGGTGCAAAGGCAGCAGCGATAACGAACTCTCGCTAGGATTGGGGGTTAAAACCTGTCATTTATTTTAATTTTTAGGATTTACTTAGCTTATCGAAGATATAATAATATCTTTAAAGTAGTTTTCTTTGTTGAACAATTTTAATGTATTCTTTCATCATATCTTTTATATGATTTCTTTTTAAATATCGCATCTATTTATTATAACTGAAAATCTCTAACCACGTTTTAAAAATATTATTGATATGAGATAACTTAGCTAGTTGTTTAAAACATTTAAATTTTCGCAAAAGAATATTAGATTAGAAAATATATATATTGATTTGTATTGCAAATACAATTAGTTCGAATTATGTTATAATTGTGTTCGAGTTAAGTTATAGTTATGATCGAGTTAAAAAAAAATTTGCCTTTTTAAAATCACAGTAATTTTTTTTATTTTTTTGATTTTATATTAACGATTTCAATTTATTTTATAATGTTTTCCTAACGCTACAAGTTGATAACTTATAATTAGTTGCCTTTTTAAAATCACAGTTTTTTTTTATTTTTTTACAATTTGGATTAACGATTTCAATGTATTTTATATTGTTTTCCTAACGCGACAAGTTAATAACTTAAAGTTAATGCGATAGTCACGTATTATATTAAAATACTTCGAACTTTTTAAGTATGTTAGTAATACATGTAGTATCAACTTGGGTTTTATACTTTGTATGCCAGCTATTTTGCTAAAATGTCGCTGCAACTTAAACATACTGTCGCCTAGACAGGATGCATCCAAAAACCAAGCCACGCCAGGTGTCCAGTGACCCGCATCCAGCTAGTCCATACCATGACCGCCCCGCACCCCCCCATCCATTTCCCTTAGCGATGATTACTAATCTCTAAATGTTTTCTCGTCCCATCCGCGCGACACACACACATTTGCCACGCAAGCAGGCGAGACGCCGCACCGGTGCGACTTCTGCTCCAAGACGTTTACGCGCAAGGAGCACTTGCTAAACCACGTGCGCCAGCACACGGGAGAGTCGCCGCACCGCTGCTCCTACTGCATGAAGACGTTCACGCGCAAGGAGCACCTGGTCAACCACATACGCCAGCACACGGGTGAGACACCGTTCAAGTGCACGTACTGCACGAAAGCGTTCACGCGCAAAGATCACATGGTTAATCATGTACGGCAACATACAGGCGAGTCGCCGCACAAGTGCACGTACTGCACCAAGACGTTCACGCGCAAGGAGCACCTGACGAACCATGTGCGCCAGCACACGGGCGACTCCCCGCACCGCTGCTCCTACTGCAAGAAGACGTTCACGCGGAAGGAGCATTTGACGAACCATGTGCGCCTGCACACGGGCGACTCGCCGCACAAGTGCGAGTACTGCCAGAAGACGTTTACGAGGAAGGAGCACCTCAACAATCACATGCGCCAGCACTCGAGCGACAATCCGCATTGCTGCAACGTTTGCAACAAGCCGTTTACGCGCAAGGAGCACCTGATCAATCATATGTCGCGGTGCCACACCGGCGACCGTCCCTTCACCTGCGAGACGTGCGGCAAGTCGTTCCCGCTCAAGGGCAACCTGCTCTTCCATCAGCGCAGCCACACGAAGGGCCAGGAGATGGAGCGACCCTTTGCCTGCGAGAAGTGCCCCAAGAACTTCATCTGCAAAGGTGAGTGAGTGCGCTCGATGATTGCTGCTGTGCGTTGCATGCATCCAGTGGAGGCACGCGTGGCGTGGCGTCAGCATAGTGTCCCAGCCCCAGCTCCAGCTGCAGTTGCAAGCCAAAAAAACTAAAACCCCCAGCCCGATCCCGATACCGATCCCGTCCTGCCTTCCAGTTGCTGTTGTGGGTATTGCTCTCACATTTTTTTTGGGGGGAAACGTCTAGTTAGAAATCTAAGGAAAATGTATTTCTTACAAAATTGTTAATGTTGAAGGATATAATACATGCAGAGACTGTTTCTTGTGCATTTATTGTTATAATTGTAATAAATCTTTTAATATTCATAGCCTTTTTTATAGCAAGAAACAGCCTCCAAAGTTAAATCCACAGCAGTCTTGAAAAAAATGTTCGTACGAATACAAAAAACTATGCATATTTGAGTACAAACATTGTACAGGTTAATAATTTTAAATTTGTGATCATCACTAATAATGAAATAATTTTAAAACTCATAATGTTTTCTATAAATTGCAACAAATTATATTTATATCTATCTATCTACAAAAATTGTATTTCTTACAAAATTGTTAATGTTGAAGGACCAAATACTTGCGCAGATTGTTTTTTGTGCATTTATTCTTTTATTTGTAATTAATCTATTAATATTAAAGCTATTTTTATATCAAAAAACAGGTTTCAAGTGAAATGCACAAAAGTCCTGAACAAAATCATATTACGAATACAAAAAACTATACACATTTGCATATAAACATTATACAGATTAATAGTTTTAAATTTGTGATGATCACAAATAATGAAAAAATTGTAAAACCCATAATGTTTTATATAAATTGTAACAAATTATATTTAAGTCTGACCAGACGTTAACCCCTTGAGCCCAATTTGTATGCAGACGACAGCGACTGTGAGAGCAATTCCCCCGAAAAACCTACCCGAGCCATTTTCGAAATTCGAGATCCCCGACGATCAGATCTTCATGTCGCTTCCATTGTCCGTTTCGCAGGTCACTTGGTCTCGCACATGCGCTCCCATTCGGGTGAGAAACCGCACGCGTGCACTCTGTGCAGCAAGGCGTTCGTCGAGCGCGGCAATTTGAAGCGCCACATGAAGATGAATCATCCGGATGCTATGATGCCGCCACCACCCGTGCATCCGCATCCGCAAATACCGGCTGGTGTGCTGACGCAAGTCAAGCAGGAAGTGAAACCGATCATAAGTGAGTCGGCAAACACACGACTGCGCTAGCGCAAGCGAGTCTCCAAGCGCCAAAGTTGCCCATTTTAACCGGCCCTCCTACCGTTTCAGTTCCCCACCACTCGGCGACCACCACGATGCACACCATCCAGCAAATTACGGCGGGCGCGGCGGGCGGAGCCGGAGCAGTGCAGCTAACACCGGGCCTGGTGCCCCTGGTCACCTCGACGCTCATCTCGCACAATGCGGCCGCCCAGCAGCAGTCGCAGAAGAATCAGGCAGCCGCCGCAGCAGCTGCCCAGCAGCAGGCCGCAGCAGCCGCGGCTGCTCAACAGCAGGCAGCGCAACAGGCGGCACATCAGCAGCATCAACAGCAAGTGGCCGCCCAGCATCAGCAGCAGGCGGCAGTGGCTGCCCATCAGCAGCAGCAACAGCAGTTGCAGCAGCAGCAGCAACTCCTGCAGTTGTCCATCCAGCAGGCGGCTCACCATCATCAGCAAGAGCAGCATCGCCAGCAGCAGCAGCAGCAACACCAGCAGCAGCAACAGCAGCAGCAGCAGCATCACCAGCAGCAACAGCAGGGTCATCCTCAGGCGCCGCCGCCACAGCAGCAACAGCAGCCGCCGCCAATCGCCTTGATCAGCGATCCCGGTGCTCTGGCACGCGCCGCCATCCAGCTGCAGCACCTGCCGGCGAACGTGGAACAGCACCCGGTTGTTTACTAACAGTAGCCCCTCCTGCACGGCTACACTCCCACCACAGCCCACTCGAGCAGCACGACCAGCACCTCCATAGCGGCTACGGCGTCGTCGCAAGCGGCGTGGTGAGGCTGAGGCCAGTGTGCTAGTGAGCTAGTGAGCCGAGCTGACGCGACATCTCTAAATAGGACACACACACGAACCATAACAAGCACACCCCATATAAGCAGCTAGTTGTATGTACAATAGTTTTAGCAGCGCGCTGGTTACGCTGATCTGTGGCCCCCAGACGATAGAGTAGTATGCAGGGGTTTTAGGGTGTATTGACTTTGAAACTAAGTTATCTTGGGGGATTCTAAACCATTTTATCCAAAAGAGAAACATCATTTTTCGATGCCTTAAAAATGTCTATATTTTAAAACAGAAAATTTAATGTATGTATTTCATTTATGACAATATGCTCTGGAATTTATCTGATTTTTAAAATTTCTAGAGATTTCTGTGGCACCCCCAAATAATAACAAAATTCATATTGCTTTTGGTCCCCCAAAAATCAAAACACCCTAGAAAGTCAAGTACAGATTGTGCTCTGTACTCCCAAATGCCATACGCACTCGTCTTTGAGCTATCTTCCTCATTTCCCAATCGCAAACGAACTCAACACTCCTTAACTAGTCTGCCGCCGCCAGCTTTAACGTGCAATACGAATCATCTCATAGTTTGTTCTCGGTATCTCTCTTTGTGTATCTTTAATGCTTAGACGCCTAGCGTCTAATTTTATTCACGTGTTTTCAACATTTCTGAAATGTGTGCCAGGCGGCGCGTGGTTTTGGATAAGTCGATTTCTAATTGTTACTTAGCTGCGCTCAGTACATCAATCGCTCCCAAAAGCCAATTCGACTCATCCACTCTTCTCGCTAGACACTTTAATGAAGGGGTTTTTGTGGCCGTAACCAGCGAAAGCGCACCATCTTGTATTTTTATTGTGTTTTGACTAAGTTATGATTATATCCATACGGAGCGACATTCATAGAAAGCATCCTCATCATACATAAACATATGCAGCATATGCATAGGCATACAATTATAATATATACTTATAGTTTGTAAATAACACGCAACAAGACCCTTGGAAATCTATCGAAAATTTGTATCACAATTGTATTATTTTTGCATTTTCCAAGGAGGATAATTGATAACGAGCAAAAACGCGTACACTTTCACATATATTGGCCAAGTGTAGTCCTTAACCCAGTTTACAATGTCGAGCCCCGAAAGTGGGGGCTGTGATCATTATGAGATATATATTATTATGTGACAATGGAAAATGAAGCAGCATAACAGCAGACACGACTAACGAGATAATGAAAAGGGATTAAACAAACAAATTATTATATTTAATGTTAGTTGAACTACTAAAAGTAATAGTTGAGAACACGGATCGCAAGAATGGAGAGGATAGGAGTCCCGAATGAGCGAGCGAGTAGTTTTTAGTTGGGCGTGTCGCCCAATCATTATAATTACAATTACAATTACGATTATGATATATGAATACTAAACCTATAACAACAAGTTATTACCCCACTATTAAAGTTAACAAACAACAACAACAACAACCCATACATATATATATACGACTAGGCACAACTCTAAAATTAATTACATATAACCCTAAACTGTGCTTATGTTGAAAACAACAAACATTAAGAACAAGTTAAAACAGTAACGAAATGAAAGTGAAACAATTAACGAGAAAGCCCCAAGCGCCACAAGCAACAACATATCTGCTTTAAATTTTACAAAAAAAATAAAACTGAAAATTAAAAAAAATATAAACATATTAAACATGAGTCACCGTTTAATAATTTTACGAGGAATCACAAAACACAAAAAAACAGACACACTGACAGACACACACGCCCACACATTATGCTTCCTTTTAAATGCAACATTTTACACATTTAATTGTCAAGAATTAAATGCTTAAAATACAATTTAAATTTAATTTAACAAACTGTAACTTTACACGAATAAACGGAAAATGTAAAACTGTTTGTTTGACCATTTGAAGACACGACTTGGTTTTATTTAACTTAATCTAATTTATTCAAGTTTATAGGCAGCAAAGTGAAAGTTTTAAATACACTAAGAATGCAGGGAACAATTGAAAATTGTAAAAAAAACATCATTTAAACATTCAACATGTGCATGTCTTTGCTTTGACACACTGAAAATTCTTAATTTTGGAAGCCTCAAGCACTATCATACGTCTATAATTATGTAGTTGAGTATCCGTGTTAGTTTTCGGTGTTTTTGGATTTTTGGTGATGTGTATAGAGCGCAGTATATAAAATGCATATAGAGATATATATTATTGTACGATTATTAACTAATATATAGCGGATATGTATGTGTAGTATGTGAAAGGCAATTTTAAGTAACGACCCCAAGGAGAAAATTCACTTGTGTTGCAATATTAAAACAAACGAAATAGTTTATATGTAAGTTGCGTAGTGCATAACGTGAGAATAGAATTAACTATATCCACCCGACACTCACTGACTAACAGACAGACACACACACCCAATAACCTTAATAATAATATGCTGGGACAGCGCTGAAAATGTTTCCTAAATGCAGCGAAAGACGTGGAGAAATTAACAGGAGAAGCTGAAGAAAACGCTTGGAACGCCCCAATTAACGTAAATATTTAAAAGCAACAAACAGTAACAATACTAAATAGAAACAATAATGTACTATAAATCAGATACAATACAACACTATATATACCTAAAATATATGCCTATACGACAGAAATTGGACAACAAATGAAATGCATATAAATATATATATATATATTATATATAGTATATATTGTACAAGTTACGAGTAAAATGTAATTAAAATTGATGAAGTAGTAAGCACTAAACAAAACAAATAAATGAGCAGCAAAAAACGCGCAGCATAAGCATACAAAAAGGACTTTCGAAACAAATTGTATTTTCAGATGACTCGTGGCTAACTATCGAGATATTCTTGTATTAATTTGTATGTTCTTTATAAATGATCTTTTTATAACTTCTCAAAGGTCGGATATTTCAATGACTATTCGTTTCTGAGCTATCTACTTGATCTTTTTAAAACCTTTTTGAATTAAACTTAACAATCTTTTTATTTTATTCAATATTTAATTAAGTTTTTAGATATATTTTCCAACACATAATTTAAAAAAAATTGATTTGAGTTTTCAATCAAAGGAAAAACTTCTATAAAAGGCAAAAGTGGTATCATATTTTAAGAACCTATATAAAAAAACAGCTTTTTATAAAAACTAAGTCGATTGATCCTTACCTTGATCCTTCTTCCAAAACTATCGTTTCAATTGCCCATCTCCAGAAGGATAAGGTAGGTAGCGAATTGCGCCCGTTCTGCCTGGAAAACCACCCCTAAATGACCTTCGCACTAGGTAGCCATCATCTGGCCATGGCAACGGCGTAAATTCGTTAGTATTGCAAACACCACGATCGAGAACACACCACAAATGACGTCCGCAACGGAAACAGGTAAGGAATGTGCAAAAATAAAAACCTTGAACGCATTAAGATCGTCTATCGACCTTTCAGCACCCACTGCCACCTCCCTGCTGCAGCTGAATGATGATGTCCTGGCTTTGATTGTCCGACAGCTGAATGTTTACCAGCAGTACGAGATCGGAAAATTGAACAGGCGTTTGGAGAACATAGTTCAGATGCTCTGGAGGACCCGTGCCCGCAGTGTTGTCCTGCAGGACGAGATGTTCCGGCGATCGGGAACCAACTCCCGCCAGTTTTTGGCCTTTTTCTTGGCTCTGGCTCCTCATATGGAGCGCCTAAGTTTTCACAATTTAGATGTCCGAAGATTACGCCTCCTTAGCAGTCAAACCATCGAGGGAATCCACTCCGTGGAGTGGCTAGGCGATGGAAATCGACGGGGACGCATCCGATTCGTGGACGAGGATGTGCGATTGCTGCGACGGGTATTCCCCCAGCTAAGAAGACTCAAACTCCGGAGCTGTCAAATTACTGGGAAGTACCTGTGCGACCTCGAACACCTTAGCGAACTCTGCCTGGATGACTGTCAGTTTCTGGAATCGCAGCACTTTAGGGATATCTTCCGGCAGCTGAGACTGCGCAAATTCGATATCATGGAGGACTGCGATGAGGTGAACTGCTGTGATCTCGTGGATTTGCAGCTTTGTCCCACATTAGAGCACATTAAGATTGCCGACTACCACCTGTGCATGGAGTCGGATATTACGCAGCAACTGCTACGCTTGCCACGCCTCCAGAAGCTGTCGATTTATTCCAAGAACTTTGTCTTCGACGTCCTGTCTCGAATAGCCCGTCCCAGCAGCCCACCCGGCGCAGTCAGACTTATAGAGGCCTTTCGCTTCAGTGGGATTCTCCATGATTATGGAAGATTCTTTAAAGAGCTTGGAAATCTTAGACAGCTCACGCGACTGGAGCTACATGGCCAGGCGGAAGAGGAGGAGGGCGGCAAGCTGCAATGCCTGCAGGATCATATTCTGCGAAAACTGGCCAATCAACTGCGCGACTTAACCGATCTACATTTGTGTGGCTATCAGTTGGAGAGTCCCTTGGGCCTGCTGGAATTCGTGATCAATTGTCGGCAGCTGAAGATCCTTGACATAACACGATCTCAGTGCCACGGAGAGTCCTTCGTCTGGAGTTGCATTGCCATTTTGGCCAAGCAAAGGTGGCGCAGTCAACCTTTAGAACTATGGATCAGACATAGCGACATAAATCTGGAGATCGTACACAGTCCACGCTGCCTGGACAATATAAAGCTAATAAAGATTGATACGAAGCAGATCGGACCAAATATGGACTACACTTCGGGCGTGCTCAAGTTCAGCTTTATGCGGTGATCAATTTCCAAGTAACTATATATTGACCTATGAATGATGAAAGACTGAAGAATCTACTCTTTACGGCATACTATTTAAGGTGAACTGGAGAAGCCCCAACTGCTCAGAATCAATTATAAAGTTTTAAACTGAAATCTAATTAAGTTCATATGTATATTTCCATACATCAAATACCATCCAAATAAAATGATGAAAATTAAATAAAAGAGGTTAGAATAGTATTATTCAATAGGTGTTTAATTTAATTATTATTATTTTTACATCTTAACTAAACTTTTATACCCGTTACTCGTAGAGTAACAGTATGTAACATTACTAGTATGTAACATCTAGAAGAAAGCGTTTCCCACCCCATAAAGTATATATATATTCTTGATCAGGGTCACTAGCCGAGTCGATCTAGCCATGTCCGTCTGTCTGCTTGTCCGTCTGTCTGTCTGTCCGTCCGTCCGTCTGTCTGTCCGTATGAACGCTGAGATCTCGGAAACTACAAAAGCTAGAAGGTTGAGATATCCCACACATATTATTTGGCTTTCTACGCAGGCGCATAATCGCCCACTAACGATTTTAAAATTATTCAAGATTTCGGAAAAGTATAAATGCAATTTTGTTGTGTATATTTATACCTATCGAAATGTAGAAGACATTTTTCAAATCGAACCATTCATTAAAAAGCAGGGACCGTAAATAACAGTTATTTGTGATTTTTATTTTAAAAGGCCTACTGAGATTTGTACAAGTTTTTATTAATAATTTAACCAGGGAACGTAACTGTTATAAGTTTTATTTTAAAAATCACACTTTAACAGTTATTTTCTGATTTGTAAAGTAAAACTCAAAGAATAACTGTTATTTTTTGAGTTTTATAATAAAAGTTGACAAATAACAGTTATTCGTCGTGATCAAAATAAAACTCAAACTTGATTTATGGCGATTTTGTGGGTAAACAAAATTTTAAAAAAATATAGGTATAAAATATGCGCGGTTGCCTTTTTTAACAAATTTTTAGTAAGTTATAAAAAGCACGGGTATTATGTTTTTTTTAATTATTTCATTTTTTCAAAAATGTCAAGGGAATAACTGTTATTCATAAAAATCAAAAAATAACAGTTATTTTTTGAGTTTTATTATAAAAATCAAAAAATAAAAATCATTACGGATTTGTAAACTACAATGGCTAATAAAAATTGTGGTGTATTTAAAAATTTTTTAGCACCCTTCTAAGTGCGTGATTTTTTTGTATGAAAAATTTACAATAACAGTTATTTTCGTTCCCTGAATTTAACTGGTTTTTATGCACTTTATAGACATGAACAAATAACAGTTAATTTGCTTTCCAGATTTGTTGAAATGCATATACTTTGTGGACAAGAGTAATAAGAACGTTATTTTTTACGTTTAAAACCAAATATCACAGTAGTCTTTTTAAAATAAAAATCACAAATAACTGTTATTTACGGTCCCTGTTAAAAAGTTATACGCAATCAAAATTGTTTATATATCTATCTCCCTCGCACTCCCTTCAGCTGAGTGACGGGTATTAGATAGTCGGGACACAATTTTACAAATATTCTTTTTTTAAGAGAGTTTTATTGAAGTTTTAACTTTGAAATGCAAATCCCTTTGATTAACTCTATGGTTTAGTCTTCCGAAATTATTTTGTCAGTCGATGTACATTTTAATATATTCTGGGTGTGCTACCATAGTCGAGGCAAATATAGAAACAAGTCCTTGCGATCAGCGTCAATCCAAATGAAATTCGAGTTCAGAGCTAAAACCTCGTCGACAAGGCAACCTTGTGATCGATGCCCACGAGGATGACCAAATGCGCCAGCCCTTCCGCCGAGCCTCCGTCTACTTCAACCTGCTGCTGATAACCGAGGCTGTGATTGGACTGCTGATCCTGGTGGTGACCGCCTACTACCACGCTCTGTTCACCGGCTATTTGTCGGAGATCGAGTGCCGCCTGATCTACGGCTATCTGTTCGGGATCTACGTGTTTGGGGCCCAGTTGGTGGTGACCTTCCTCTGCAGCATAGCCATGTGGCGGCGAATTTGGAGGCGACGTTGCACGCCCAACATTCGCCTATTGCTCTCCGTGTGGGCCTTCTTCTCCTGCGTAATCATTGCCTCCGGTTTCGGATGCGTTTGGAACCTTTACCGGGGCGTCGATGTACTGGAAAATGCGGCGGATACCTCGCTGAGCCGGGGCATTGACATGTACTATTCGTGCCCCGAATGGAAGCTCCTGTGGGACGGGCTGCAGTGGCACAAGGAGTGCTGTGGCGTGCATGGCTACAAGGATTGGATGAGTGCCGAATGGATGCCGCGACTGGAGGATAATTGCTCGTCCATGGTCCTGGCACCGTACGCCTGCTGTAAGCGATCCTGCGAGAGCTGCTTCAGCAATTTGCTGTCCGGCGAGGGGCAGTCGATCGGTGGCAGCAGTCGGCAGCCCTTTCCCGCTCTCACCGTGGACTCCATCAATGCGAATGGGTGTCTGCCGATCTTCGTCGGTGCAGTGTGGAACTTCTTTTACATCCTGCTGGCCCTGTGGGTTCTGGCTTTAAAGTTCCTGGTGAGTAAGAGTCTAGTCGAGAAGGTAATTAGAGCTTTAGACTTCCGAGACTTTTAAATCTACATCAGAAATGGGAACGCGATAAATTCTGCCAAATATTAAGTAAAATGAGAAAGTTCTCTTAGAGATAATTAACTATTATTTGTATTATCTCCTGGAGTATCATATTCAAAGATCAGGGAACATTTATTTGAGTTCCACAGTCTGTGCTAATTTTTCAACATCACATTTTGGTTAAATAAATAGTGCTGACTTTAAAAAACAAAAAATAATGTCTTATATTAACAAAAAATAATTTATTTAATTTTAGAGTACTAATGCTCTAAAAACTTCTTCTAAAAACTATTTTTTTTTACCATTTGGATGTTCGACTGTTGATACAAATATTTTTAAACTCAGATAGAATTACTGCTAATTATTTCCAGCTTTAAAATATGTTTCATGGTGTACTCAAATTTTTAGGATCAATATAAATACACAAAAAATAGCTTTAATAGATTCATTATTACAGCATGAGTATTTAAAACCAATTTAAGCAGTATTTTCTATAGATCTTACTCTGTTGTTTGACAAAGTTCACACTTCACCGGCAGAATGAGGGAAATGGCTGCGATAATGTGGGACTCACAGACGAAGATGGACATCCGCTGGTCGTGGTGGTAGGTTTAATAAATTTTATATTCTTATAAAAACTATTAAATAGTGTAAATTCCTCAGAAATATCCCTGCAATGTGCGGTGTGTGACAATTGCAGAGGACGATTTGGTTTCTGACAATATTCCTGATGCTAACTACTGCAATTGCTCCGAAATGGATGACGAACAATGTGGTTACTAGGCTGTTTTTTGTTCCGTATTTATTTTTATATTTTATATTATTTGAATTTAATACACATTTGTGTTTTTCAATGTTTAAATTCAAATGCTTTAGTTATTTTAATACTTGCCATTGAAAAAAAAAGTACATATATTCGTTTTTCAGTTAATGAACGCAAAATATAATAGATGTTTTTCTGAACCAAATGTTAAGCATAAATTTGGATAATGATTAAGAAAGAGAAATGGGTAAATATTTAAACTACTTGCGCATCTTCTTGGATTCGTTCAAAGTTTTGGTCACCATAAGATTGATGCGCTTGCGCAGAGCTTCAAAAGACTTCAGGGAGACGCGCTGCTCGACGAGATTAGCAGAAATCCGGTGGAAGTAGCCAGTGACATCCACGGATTTGGCCAGCTGAGCAGGCGGTTCCAAAGCTGGATCCACTGTTTCCGGACTTGTATTTCCATTCTTGATATGAGAATTTCCTCTTAGACGCCTGGAAAAACGTTTCCCAATAGATTCCGAAGCGTGATTATTACGAGAAGTGAAAGGACGTTGGGGTGTGCCCAAGGTGGTGGAATGCAAGGGTTCCGATTTAGGGATACTGGTGTTAGCCAATGGAAGTGTATTAGTAATCTCGGGAGGTACGGCACGTTTCCTGGCGGAAATTCAAAATAATATTTAGAAAAAGTTTCCACATCAATGAAAATCACAACTTACGGTGTTCCCGTTAAGTAGATAACATTCTTGGACCAATCCGAACCATCCAGATCCATCCTAGAAGATCAAATATTTATAGAAAGTTCTAGTTGCATACAATTTATATACTCACTCATCTTCGTTTGAATTTTCGTCCTCCTCCTGCTCGCTGTTCCTAATTATACAATTAGGCAATGGTACTTTAAGAACTCATAACAACATAAACAAAAAAAACTTACAACTGAGAATCGTTCGAGTTTGCGTCACTTTCTTGATCACTTTTCCTATTTACAAAAAATATTATTCGATTGTTAAGAAATAAAAGCAAATGAAGACTTACAGAGCTTCTTGGGCATCTTCATCATCGCCCACAATATGGGGAATTTTCGGTGGGGACCTGCAATGTACAGATGTTTATATATTTTATCTATAAGGAACATACTCAATTCAATAACTTTTAATTACATTTTGCACAATTTAATAATTTTGACCGTCTGCGAAGTAAAAATGCGATGCGAACGGTGTTAGAAAAAACACTGTTTGTTAGTGTGACCATTCAATACGACCACGTGTTATTAATTGGGGTTTTGGTTGACATAAGTTCATGGTTAAAATACTTAAAACATGGTTTACATCTAATTAATAAGAATAGATGTTGTCGAAAATATTTCTCCTACTAACTCGAAGCTGAGTATGTAATACGAGACTATAAAGAAAACTAACCATTTCAAGCAGTGCTGTACAATGGATGAAATAAATCCCAACTAACTTTACATTTTTATACCCTTGCAGAGGGTATTATGATTTCAGTCAGAAGTTTGCAACGCAGTGAAGGAGACGTTTCCGACCCCTAAAGTATATATATTCTTGATCAGCATCACTAGACGAGTCGATCTAGCCATGTCCGTCTGTCCGTCTGTCTGTTTCTACGCAAACTAGTCTCTCAGTTTTTGAGCTATCGGGATGAAACTTTCCCAAAAGTCTTCTTTCTATTGCAGGTAGTATATATGTCGGAACCGACCGGATCGGACAACTATATCTTATAGCTCCCATAGGAAGGATCGGAAAAGAAAACGTTAAAAAAATTCTAGCTTCGGTGTTTTTTGAAATATTACCTTCTACTTTTGGGGATGTTATTTTTTAAATATTTCTGAATTTCGAATTAAATATTTAAAAAGTCGGACTAATATATCATATAGCTGCCATAGGAACAATCGGAAAATTAATGGAAAAGTAATAGGAAATAAATTCTAGCTTCTTTGGTTTTTATTGTATTATCTTCTACTCTAGGATATGACTCTTTTTAAATATTTCCGAATTTCCATTTTAATTTGATCAAAATCGGACGACTATATCATATAGCTGCCATAGGAACGATCGGAAAATTAATGAGATTAATGAAATTAATTGAACATTTTTGCGATTTGTTAATTAATAGGAATGATCTGCAAGGGTATTTAAGCTTCGGCTGGCCGAAGCTAGCTTCCTTTCTTGTTTTTTTGTGCTTTATGTATATTTCTTAATAATTATTAAATTCCTAGTAGGTATATTTTAATCTAGACCAGCACACACATACGTTGACATTTTGTTTTATATTTGTGAGTAATTTGCACTGGGCAGCTCATCGATGTGTGTGTGCAGACCGCTGTTCTACAGTGTACGTTAGCGAGCAGCGGCTGGGCAGAACAAAACCCTATGCTCACTTAATAGGACGCTGCCGACCGCTGATCTAGACCAATAGTAACCTGTAATAAAATTTGCTGAATTGTGGAAAAAATTCGAATAACATCTGCCACCAAATAATTTCATTTATAGAATGCATTTCAGGAACTTCTTTTAATTTTCAGATTGAACAAAACATCAAGTTTTCTTTTTAATGTTACACTAGTTCGTTAGTTTAAATAGATAACATAGCATATTTTAAAAATCTCTTAAGGACATCAAATGGCAGTCAAAACCTAATCATGGCTTTGCTCTTGGATGTCTGAGAAATCGGAGACGACGACGCTGCTGGTGCTGATCAGGTGGCGATCGGGCATTTCCCCAATGGACGGAAAGGAGCTGGAATCGCTGGCGCTGGACAGAGATATCTCCTCCCAGCTGACGCCCGAATCGCCCTGGTTGCCCAGGGAAACAGGGGTGGCATCGGGATTTTCGGGCTGCAGATCCTGATTTTGCTGATCCATGTTCCTGCTGATCACCGGTGGTCTCGAACGCTTGCCATCTAAGTCGGTAATCTGGTTGTCTTCCCCAGCGGTTCTCTTACGATCCGGATTTTGCCCTTCGGCCGTGGGACTCCAGTCCATGGGATGATGGACATCTGCCCGTATAGTCACGCGAATGGGTTCGCTGGGCGGGCTGTCCAAATCCGAGGGATTTCTCCTGGACACTTGGGGCGACATGATCATCGTCGAGTTGTGCAAAGCACTCGGCTGCGAGGACAAGAACTCCAGTTCGCTTTCCTGCGAGAATTAGTAGTGATTAACTGGGATGAGTCATTATAAATATCCCACCTGCAAAGCCCTTTCTAGTTCTTGATCAAGATCCTCAGATTTGCTGCAGGCCGACTGCTCCATGGCACTTGCCAGCTCCCGCATTTCTTCAATATCCATTTCATCCTCATAAACGCCAGCGCCTGCGCAAATAACACTTTACCAAATGCATTATAAGAATTATAGCATTTCTTACTTTTAAGGAAATCCAACAGCTTCTTCTTGGTTCGGCTGCGCAATTCCATGCTGAATAAAAGCTAAACAGAAGTTCTGGGAGTAATTTTATTTTGGTTTAACTATTTTGCTCTTCTTCTTGTTCATAACGGAACTATTCTCCTGACTAAATATCGATAGTTGTGATCCCTGATGATGGTTATACTTAGAGGTGTGAAATAAGTTTCTAAGCTTCGAGTCACGCTAAAAATAAATCGGTAGGGGTATTCAATATATATTTGCACATCAGTGCTTGTAAAACTGTGAAATTTTAAGCTGGTAGTCGGAAAATCTTTTTATCGCCCAAAATGATTAAGAAAATAATGTTAATAAAACTTAAAAAATTAAGACTTTTATTTAACAATATTAATAATATCAAGGGTTTGTGCATCAACAAACGTAATTTATGGCTAATCATTTATTTAGCGACCTATGTTAATATCCTTTTATTGCACTTAAGTCTCTTCAAAGTTTAGTTAATTAAAGATATATTTAATAATTTGGTTTAATTATATTAGGGAATTTTTTAAAAGAACATTTTTACATCGAATTTAAACCTAATTTATTCTAGTAGCGCTGCGATATAAACCAATATCAAATAATAAAATTAAATGTTAATACTAATTTTAATATAAAATGCTAGCTAATAATATTAATTTAAGTTTTATTTTTTAAATTATTTTAAAGTTAGTGTTGGAAAAGATACAATAGAAAAGTAAATATGCAAGTAAAAACTGCGGCTATCGGTATCGTCGGAGTGATCGAATGATCTTCCATCTCCAATCAATATGTCTTCAAAAGTTTCAAGTGTGTGTGTAAATAAGTGGCAAAATAAACCCAAAAAAACATAACAAAAAAGCAAGTAAGTAAAGTCAGTCCACATTCACAGGCCCTTGAAGGAACACGCACAATTCGCGCCGGGTAGGGCAAGGGACCTCGTGGTGTGGATTCACTTTTAGGTTAAGTGAATTTGAAACACATACAAACGAATTTTGCCTTGGCGTTTTCCTGGAACTCAGGGCGGCCAAATAACTCCGCATCACTTACGGGTGACGCGGTAACTTAAACCCCAAAAAAAAAAAAGGAAGTAAAGTATTTATATTACTAGTTATTAGTTACTTATACGTGAAGAAGCATACTTAAAACATGTACAGTGGCTCGCAGCTTATTTCGTGCAGAGACATATTTTAATTTAAAAGTTGTCTATCCGATAAACTATTAAAGGTATCAACAAAATATAAACGCAGTCTTATTTGGTAGAATTCTAAGATATTATATCGTAATCTACGCTTAACAATTTTTTAAAAGAACATTTAAAATTAAACATAAACTGAAAATATCGACTTTTTTGATGCTGCAGCTTATTTCGTGCAACAACTTTATGTTCGTTTTATTCGTAAGTTGTTTATTTTTAGAAGGTTTTTCTACTTCTACATTGTTTTGAACATTATTAATAAAGTATTTTAAACTTTCGAAGAATTTAAATACAGTTAAAAAAAAAGTTATAAAGAAATTTAAAAAATTACTCAACTTTTGAAAATTTAATGGCCAAAACATCAAAAAAACTTCTTAAATTATATAACAAATCACAGAATCTGTTGATTTACGAGCTAGATTTTCAAAATATGTAATCCAAAGCTTCATATGAGTAAATTGAGTGGTGTGAATGGTCCCAAAATGCATTCTTTATAACTCTAAGGAAAGTAGAGAGAAAGTAGAAAGAAAATTATCCAAAAAGTTAAAAAAATATACATATACGGTATCCAAAATTAGCTAGTCTTGATCAGAAAAGAATGGGCTAACAATGTTATGTGGAAACCATTCGCGTCCTAAAGCGAGATCTTACACTTATTGACCAATCAAGTTGAAATATGCTACTTATCACATTTAAGAACAATCTAAGCATATTTAAAGAGGCTATAAAGCACATCATTCGTCCCATTTTCATTTGGAATCATTTTTTTTATTTATTAGAGTGCTCACTGACTAATTATAGTTCCTATTAAACGCATTTTATGTGCTTTCAACGGAGTTCTGATTCTTACCACACCCACCTAAAAACTAAGGCTAAGCAAAGTGTCAGCACTGATATAGGGTGGAAGAATTTTTTTTCCTTTAATAATGAATGATTTAAACATTTATCTTCCACATTAAATAAAAAAAATTATCAAAAAATTTATAAAACTAGGCCAAAAAATTAGTTTTAAGTTTTACCAGGGCACCGAACCACAGTAAATATTCGGTTTTTGCGTTCCTGGGATATCAAAAATGCATCTTTCGTGATAAATTTAGTTTCCCAATTATATAATTTTAATTAAAGAATAAAATTGTTGACTGTCAAGAATAACCTGATTCTTATTTTATTTTTAAGGATTTTTTTTCAATAAAATACAATTTTAAGCACGTTAATTACGTAATATACTAAATTATCCAAAGATATTCGCTTTTTCTGGTGATAATATGTTTTGAAGATATTACCAAACATAACAAAAGCCCCACAACATTTTTCATAAAAGTTTTAACATATATTTTAAGGATTTTGTTGCGTGCACGAAATAAGCTGCGACTTGTAAAAAGCTACTTTTATTGAAATTTGTTCGATTTAAGTATTACCTAACAGAATAAAAAAATAATAAAATGGTTTAATTTAAATTAGTATAACACTGAATAAAGCTGCAAAGAAATTTATTTGATATCTATTTTACTTTATGAGTAGGGGAGAGTGGGGGAATTTCGTCACAGGGGCAATTTCGTCACCTGCAATATCTCGGAATCCATAAGTCGTAAAAATATATAATTTTTTTGTTTTAGTCCTTCAAGACGGCCAGACACAACCAATGCATTTGTTTTGCACACAAGGCCAAGATAATTAAGCTATAATATTAAATGTGTTTTAACAGTTCAAAAGCTACATTTAGTTATCGACGAAATTTTTTCTGTATGCCACAATTCAAAAGGAATAAGATACACGATTTTTTATATAATACACAGTGCTATAATGTGCATTTCTGCGTCAGTCATTTTTAACTTCGCGCCTAATTTCGCAAGAAAAATAATTATTTCTAAAAAAGTACGGTCTGGGGAAATTTCGCCACCCTACGCTAAGGGTAAATTCGCACCTATTTTAAATCAAATAAAAACACCTCTTAACGAGGTAAAAAACTAGTGACGATCGCACCTTCAACATACAAAAGTTCTGATATCAACATTTGTGACGAAAAATTATTACACTCGTCATTAAATAGACTTTCTAATCTTTTCTCATTCGGCCCGCCCTAGCAGACTATTCCAGCCTTTTTCCCTTCACAGGCATTTTCTATTGCAGCGTGCCGAATAAAAAAATATTAGAAAGTCTATTTAATGGCGAGTGTAATAATTTTTCGTCACAAATGTTGATATCAGAACTTTTGTATGTTGAAGGTGCGATCGTCACTAGTTTTTTACCTCGTTAAGAGGTGTTTTTATTTGATATCAGAAGTTTTTGTTTGTTTACATTTGCTCTCATAGGAGCTAATATATACATTTAAATTTAAATTGGTCAATCATAATTTGAAAGCCATTGTATTTAAACAAATTAAGTTAAAAAGTATTTCAAAATACCTTTTAAACGAGGTATGGCACATGTCTGTACCTTTAGTAGTGTAGAACTTACAAACTAACGAAATTTAGCCATTTTTAGCTTTTTTCCCGCTAAAGTAGCGGCTTTTTCCAAAAGTCGTAGAACAAAATATTCCTATATGGAACTCTTAAGTGCAAATTTACTGATTCCATGACCCTAAAATACAGTTCGGATACCCTCACACAAAATTCAATACTCAGGAAGCTTTAGTTGTTCGAGCTGGCAAAAGTGGATATTTTCGTATAAAAATAACTTTTAAACGTGACTTTTTACAGTAATGTGTTATATACCAAAATTTAAGGAATCTCAAGGGCTATACAGTTTAAAGTTTTCAAGAAAATCGTTAGAGCCGTTTTTGAAAAAAATAAAAAAAAGCTAAAAAAAAGTTTTAAAAAATTGTCTTTTGTTCATATCTTTTTAATTATTACATTTACACAAATTGCATATAGAAGGCGTTTATAGCTTTTAAAAATACCTTTCAAACAAGATGCAGCACAAGTCTGTAGCTTTAGTAGTATAGAAGTTACGGCTTTCCGAATTTTAGCTATTTATAGCTGTTTTCCCGCTAAACTAGCGAGTTTTTCCAAAAGTGGTAGAACAAAAGTTTTTTATATCGATGAGATGAACGTCATATTAAATTTTCAAAACTTAAGAAACATGTTTTGGACAAACTGACAAACTGACAAACTGACAAACTGACAAACTGACAAACTGACAAACAGAATTAAATTTTCATTTTGGGAAGAAGAAGGAAATCTTATTTTGGCTATAACTTTTGAACGGAGCGTCGGATTTTGACAAATGACCCCTCATTCGACGGGTATTTTCAAAAGGAATACAATTAAAACATTGCGAGGGGGCATTTATCCCCACCGGCCCCAACAGCTCCAAATTTCGAAATTTTCATTTTTTCACTTTCACCGCTCTCTCTCCCAAGCCAATTGATTTTCTTAAAGTCTTGGTATGCAATCCTTTAAGTTATTGCAATACCTTTCGATTGGTGTATTACTCATTACGATCGGACTATCACAGCAGATTTTCAATTTTGCGGCTATATAATAGTAGTCGCCTTCGCACACTCTCCTGGTGCGCTTCGTCACTACATGGACTGCCGTCCATAGTGATACATATTTTTATATTTGACGAGCTGGCTAACGAACAGACTACCAGCAGTAGCAACAAATTTAGGACGTCAACAAAAATGGTACGCTTGATCAGTGTAGCATATTTTCAGGCGTTAAACTCCCTACATTTTTCAGGTGACGAAATTTCCCCAGTTGTGTGGTGATTTTACCCCCCTGTGTGGTGAGATTGCCCCAGTATATTGGTTTTACATTTTATTTTTTTATAAATCACCAAGCTAATTAAAAAAATAGGGGAATGTCACATTTTAAAGCTTGGTGCTAACCGCATTCAACAATAAAAATAGAAATATGATAACGTGTCTCAAGATGGACAAAAAATAGCTTTGAAAAAATG